GATCTTATGGTAGCTCACAGAGAAAGGAATGTGACAATGAATATATATATATGTTCATGTATAATTGAAAAATTGTGCTCTACATTGGAATTTGACACAACATTGTAAAATGATTATAAATCAATAAAAAAAATGTTAAAAAAATGTCCATAGACAGATGACTGGCTAAAGAAGTAGTGGTATATTTATACAATGGAATACTACTCAGCCATAAAAAATAATAATGCCATTTGCAGCAACATGGATGGATCTGGAGATTGTCATTCCAAGTGAAGTAAGCCAGAAAGAGAAAGAAAAATGCCATATGGTATCACTCATATGTGGAATCTAAAAAAAGAAGAGAAAAGAAAACATTAATGAACTTATCTACAAAACAGAAACAGACTCACAGACATAGAAAACAAACCTATGGTTACTGGGGGTAAAAGGGATGGGAGGGGATAAGTTGGGAGTTTGAGAATTGCTAATACTAACTACTATATATAAAATAGATTAAAAAAATTTCTTCTATATAACACAGGAAACTATATTCAATATCTTGTAGTAATCTATAATGAAAATATGAAAATGAATATATGTATATGTATAACTGAAACATTATGCTTTACACCAGAAATCGACACACTGTAACTGAGTATACTTCAATAAATATAAAAAAAAAGCTTGAAACAAAAATAAATGTATAGTTTCAATTTTGCAAGAGGAAAAGATATAGATATCTGTTGTACAACAATGTGAGTATACTTAACATACTGAATTGTACACTTAAAATGGTTAAGAGTTATATTTTATGCTGTGTGTATGGTTTTTTTACCACAACTTAACATAAAAATTTATTTTTGAAAAAGGAACTTTTTGACTTGGGTTTTTTAGGATTTCCAGTAGCAGAGTCCACCCTGCAAACTCCAAGGATTCTCTCAATTTCACACTTTTTTAATATAGAATTAATCTTTAATTCTTTCACTCGTTTTACACTGATGGAGCGGGGAGGGCAGTTAGGTTTGTTTGTTTGTTTTATTTTTAACAGAGATATTGAGCATTGAACCGAGAATACACAATGAGGATAGAATAGTCTCTTCACTAAATAGTGTTATGAAAACTGACTATCCATGTGGAAAGGAATAAAATTGGACCCTTATCTTATACTATACACAAAAACCAACTCAAAATGGATTAAGGACTTAAATGTAAGACCTGAAACTGTGAACTCCTGGTAAAAATCATAGGCAAAATTTCCTTGACATTGGTCATGGCAATGATTTTTTTGATTTGACAACAAAAGCACAGGCAGCAAAAGAAAAAATAAACAAGTGGGACTGCATCAAACTAAAAAGTTTCTTTACAGCAAAGGAAGCAATCAACATAGTAAAAAGGCAGCCTTCAGAGTGAGAAAAAACACACATATCTGATAAGAGGTTAATACCCAAAATATATGAGGAATTCATGCAACTCAATAGGAAAAAAATTTTAAATAGGGCAAAGGACCTTAATAGACATTTCTGCATATCAAAACCACAATGAGATAGCACCTCACACATATTAGGTTGACTACTATCAAAAAGTCAGAAGAAAACAAGTATTGGCAAGGATGTGAAGAAAAGAAGCCTTGTACATTTACACAAGAGTGTAAAATGGTACAGTTAATATGGAAAATGGTATTCAGGTACCTCAAAAAATTAAAAATAGAACTACCATATGATCCAGTAATCCCACTTATGGACATATATTTAAAAGAAATAAAAATCATTATGTCTGAGATATCTGCACTCCATGTTTATTATAGTATTATTCATAATAGCCAAGATATGGAAATAACCTAGGTTCCCACCAAATGAATAGATAAAGAAAACGTGGTATATAGATACTATGGAATATTATTCAGCCTTAAAAAAGAAGGAAATCCTGCAATTCACAAAACATGGGTGTCCTTGTGGAGATTTTCCTGGGTGAAATAAGCCAGACATAGAAAGACAAATACTGTGTGATCTCACTTATGTGTAGAATCTAAATAAAGGAAGAAACAGAATAGAATGGTTGTTACTAAGGACTAGGGGTGGGTTAAAGGGGAGTCAAAGGGTACAAATTTTCAGTTACAAGATGACCTAAGGTACAGCATGTTGACCAGAGTAGGTAAGAATGTACTGTATACTTGAAATTTGCTAAGAGAATGGATCTCAAGTGTTCTCACTACAGAAAAAAAAAAAAAGGAGAGGAGGTAACTATGTGAGGTAATAGATATGTTCATTAGTTTGGCTTTGGTAATAATTTTACAGTGTTTACATAGATCAGAATATGTTGTACAACCTAATATATATAATTTTCATTCGTTAATCGTACCTCAATAAAGTTGAGAAAAAAGAAATACAAGTAAATCTCTGTCTACTGCTAACTATTGAAATACAGACATCTGTTATTTTAACACCTACTAATGTGATGCAGAAACCATTTCAAAACAAGCTCCTACTGTTAAATATAGTAACTAAGAATAGACAGTTTTGTGTATGCTGTAAAGAGCGTACTTGGAGCTTAGTGTTCTTTTTTCTTTAAGCCCTTGTTGGGGTGCTGTAGAGGAGCCTAATGGCGTACAATCAGGAAGCAGTGTATCATTTCTCATTCATTGCCAGCTGTCGGTCAGTCATTAATACTGGCTCATCTTCTGCCTGGACTAGTGCAAACTCTGGTTCTATAAGAATGAAAGAATCCCATGAGGTGTCCACCCAGGCTTCAGTTTTCTCCTCAAATAACATGACTCTATCATGAACTAAATATCTCCAAGGAGTAGATGGTACAGTGCCCTCCGCTCACGCATAACTGAGTTTGAATACAAGGAAGTTTCAAAGTTATTTTATTATGTAAACTATCTCTGAGTGTTGACCCCTTTGAAGAGTAAATAGATGAATATTTTAATGATATATTAAAATAACAGAACCCAAATCTTAATTGCATTATATTTTATTGAGTTGATGCATGTTTTATGGTTGTTATTTTATGCTATTAAGTAGAGAGAGAAAATATGTTCAGATTTTAAAGGTACAGGTAAAATGGACCCACCAATTTGGGAGGCATTGGAGTATGGTCATTAAGAGCAGAGATGCTGGAACAGAAGCTGCTTAAATTTACAACCGGCTCTAGTACTTACCAACTACATACATTCGTCAACCCTCAGCCAAAGGCTAATTTTGCCCCCCAAAAAATCTCTAACTTGGTTAAGCTAATATATTAGCCTGTAATTGTCCTAATAAGTGTATATTTGACAAATTAACTAACACTTTTAAAGTCCAAGATAAAATAAAAAGAAAAATGAATGTAGAAGAATAAAACAGCTTCCTAAAAGATTTCTGAAAATTATCAGGGGTCTAGGAAGATGGATTCATTACAAAGATCTTCCAAAAACGTCAGGCCTAAAGGGATGTGAGTATATATATGATGTGTTAAAAGAATCTTTAAAATAAGTAGACATTAGTGTACTTTGACCATAGTTATTAGTTTTCATATTAATAGCTCATTTATAGATCAGAAAGATTTTGTCTCTGGCCTATCCTTGTGTTCCCAAAATTCTAAACTGCCACAGCTGTTCAGTCATAGAAACCATGATCCAATGATAGAAACAGATCAAGAAATGCAGTAATGTTCATATACGAAATTCTTTTTTTTATTGTTATTTATTTATTTATTTATTTATTTATTTATTTATTTATTTACTTTTATTGAGTTATAGTCATTTTACAATGGTGTGTCGAATTCCAGTGTAGAGGACAATTTTTCAGTTATACATGAATGTACATATATTCTCATATATGAAATTCTTGAAGCTTACTTAAGATAACTGCCAAACCTTAATGAATGTCTGTAGAGTATTCATTAGAGTAGAAAAGCAATATAGACAGAGGACTACTATTTAATTGTGGGCTTTTAGTAAGTGACATAGATAAAAGCCATGAATGAGACCATGGATGAGTGATATCATTATCATCCAGTTATAAAATAACCAGGACCCTGTTCAAGAAATTTCTTTTTGGGGCTGCAAATAAAGAAGGAAGTTGGAAATACCAATCATATGAAATTGACACCAATGAAAAGAGTAATGACCTTACTGGTGTCACTTTTGCCATCACTGGGTCAGAAATAGAAAGGCAGAAAGCCAGTGGTATAGTCTGTTAGTGAAAAGCTCAAGAATCCAAATTAACAAGTGGGCCTAGATTTTTTTTTTCAATTTTTTAATCTAAAGTGAGAAGAAAGGAGTTTAACTATGTGAGGTGATAGATGTGCTAATTATCTTGATATTGGTAATCATCCCATGATGTATATGTGTATCAAATCACCACGTTGTATACTTTAAGTATATAAAATTATATTTGTCAACTTTTTCTCAGTAAGTTGGGGAGGGGAGTGTAGAAACCCGACTCTTGCCCTAGATCTCTCACTTCACATATCTGTGCCTGAGTATTATCATTTATAAAACAAATGAGTTAAGACAGATGATCTTTCAAATTCCAGTTCTGAAGTTCAACAATTCTATTATAAACCAAACAGTTACCTAGATAGCCAAAGGATATGGGGAAAAAGAAAGCAAACAGATACTAAACTAAGAAGGGAAGAAAATTAAACCAGTGAGATTTTATGGCAGTTTGGTAAGTAGTTTGAGAAAACGACATTAACCAATTCGAAATAGGGAAAGAATAACGGTGAAAAGGAATAATATGTTAATTTCCAACACTGAATTGTTGGATACACTGATTGGCACCTTTTGAGGAACAAGACAATTAGAAGTGGTGGATTAAGGTAATAATTAGCTTTGGTTTGAAGGATTTTATATGGTAATTATATGGAGAATGAGCAGAAAGCATTTCTTAATTATTGAAAAAAAACAAGATAAAATACTCACCACCCAGAGTTATCATGAATATTAAATAACATAATTTACATAAAACATCTAGCACAAGGTTGGAAATTCAGAAAGCTCCAGTGTTAGCTCTCTTTATCCTTATTAATTAAGGTACTAGAGATACACAGTAATGTGGTAAATGCCTAAATGTAACCTAGTACATAAAATTCTTAGAGATCTAAAATTTTAATGACATCATTTTTTTCTGTTGTCATTGAGGGAAGAGCTAAATTTCTTTATATTTAGAGTATTTAGTTCATATTCCTGTAACTCACAAGCTGATGGCAGAGTTTCTTCATTGCTGCCTTCATCTCCTTGTTCCTGAATGTGTAGATCACTGGATTCAGAAAAGGAGTGAGAACTGCATCAAAGATAGCAAGAAACTTGTCCAAGTGTGATGAGGGGAAGGGCCAAGTATAGAAGAAGATTAATGGCCCAAAGAATAAAACCACCACAGTGACATGAGCTGACAAAGTGGAGAGAGCCTTTGATAAACCACCTGAGGAGTGTTTCCAAACAGTGACAAGAATGAAGATATAAGAAATAATCAGTATGAAGAAGGAACCCACAGAGATGAGTCCACTGTTGGCTGTCACCATGAACTCCAGTCTATAGATCTCTGTGCAAGCAAGTTTGATAAGTTGAGGGAGGTCACAATAAAAGCTGTCCAATTCATTAGGACCACAGAAGGGCAAGTCTACAACAAAAGCCAGTTGGGCCACTGAGTGGATGAGGCCAAGGACCCAGGCAGCAGCCAAAATTAAAATGCATGTTTGTGGGCTCATGATGGTCAGGTAGTGGAGAGGCTTACATATGGCCACGTATCTGTCAAAGGCCATGGCAATGAGCAGCACCATTTCTGTGCCCCCAATAGCATGAATAAAGAAGATCTGAGCTATACAGCCCCCAAAAGAGATGGCTTTGCGCTTTCTGAAAATGTCATAAATCATTTTGGGAGCGGCAATAGAGCAAACCCCCACGTCAAGAAAAGAGAGATTGGCTAGCAGAAAGTACATGGGGGAGTGCAAGTTAGGGTCAGAGCTCACAGAGAACACAATGAGGAGGTTTCCCATCAGGCTTGACACATAGAATGCAGAGGAAAAGAGGAAGAGAAGGAGCTGGATCTCCCAAGAATTGGAGAGTCCCAGGAACACAAACTCAGACACGACAGAGCGGTTGGCTCCACCCATTGCCGCTGCAAGCAGAGATAGTACAGTTTTACCTGGAAAAGAGAATAAAGAAGATATCAACTTTGTGGGGAGTCAGTGATTGCATGAAAATATTGCCTCATTTCATACGGCCAGAACACCTATAATATAACCCCTTAAACAGCAGTTGCAGAAAAGATGCAAAACTCATTGCCATAAAGCACTTTTCTAACTCCCCCAGCTTCCCTAAAATTTTCTAGGTTTTGAATGTAATATTCTGCTGAAACAGAAGGGTTATGAGAAGCAGGATAGCAATGCCCTGGAATAACATGGGGGAAGAAAGAGGAAATGGAAATGGACTTACTGATTTCTCTCTCACAGTTTGTTACTCCTGCCCATGGATTTCCCCAAACCTCTGACAGTTCTGATGACTTTCATTTTTCTTACCCCCTTGATTACCTCCTATATGCAGTGCTATCAATTTCATTAATACTCTCCTGTTTAGCCTTGCTATTGCAGTTTTATCAAATCACATTCACCTTTTCCTCATAAAGAGAGAAGATAACATAGAAACCCTAAAGGTGTCCAACTTTTGGAGCTCAGTTGAGGGAGTGAAAGTGATCACAAAGCTTGAACTGGGAGAGAATATAACAGAGTTAGAATAAGTCAGAAAAGAGATTTGTACTGCAGAATCTAAACATGGATGAGCTAATGCAATGTAGCCAGCAAAATTCTATTTGATTGATATTTGTAGATCATTGTCCATGCCATGTTCACTTTTCATGGGTTCATGGAATGTCAGAAAGAACACAGCACTTGGATTCAAAAGAGTTGTAATTTAATCCTAGCCCTAAATCCATGGAAAGGGCTTAGACTTAAGTAGGGCAAGTTATTTCTCCAATCCCTTCCACACTCAACTCACTTCTTGAAGTCAGTTTCATCATCTGGAAGATAAAGGAACTGAGGTGGATGATGCTAAGTAATCCTTTCAAGCCCAACACTTCCATGATTTCGTAGCACGGTGCCAGCCCAGTATGTAGTGAAACTCACCATAATGATGGTATTCTCTGCAATGGATTGCTATCATATTCACCACCTTTTCCCTCATCTGCAGTTGGTTATTGGTCCCATATCCCATAGAAAGCCCTCTCTTCATATTTAATCTCCCTCTTCTCTAATTCCATTTGTACCACTTACATGATTTATTAGCAAATTATTGTAAATTAGCTATGTCGTTTATTTTACCCTTTATCATAACCATCAGTAATCAATCAACAAATATTTTCTAGATACCTACTAAGCACAATGTATTGTTCCAGGACATTATGGGTTTCCTGAAGTATTAAAATATTCACTACCCTTAAGGCATTTACATTTTAGCACATACAAAAATATAAATAACAAAAAAAGTACTTAAATAAAGAAAAAGTAGTATGATCATAGAGTTTTTGAAGCAGAAAACATAAGTGTGAGCCAGAGTAATCAGGGCTATCTTCAGAAAGAAATCAAGACCTGTGATGCACTTCAAGATATGGATATAATTTATTTGGATATACAATTCATATCTGAATCAATGGAACAGAATAGAGAGCCCAGAAGTAAACCCACACACCTACCATCAATTAATCTTTGACAAAGGAGGCAAGAGTATACAATGGAGAAAAGACAGTCTCTTCAACAAGTGGTGTTGGGAAAGCTGGATAGCTGCATGTGAATAAATGAAATTAGAACACTCCCTCATGCAACTTCATATCTGAGTCTTAAAGAATCATTGAGATATAATCAGAGAATATCTCCCGGTCTGAAGTAGTGTTTGATTATCTATGAAAATAATGAAAACAAGCCAAATTAAAGCAAAAACAGTGGCTACCATGGGCAAGACACAATTAACACCTTTACACACATGATCTTGTTTGATATTTATAATAACCATAAAAGTTAGTATCAGCTCCTTTTTACAGCAAAGGATATAGAGACTAGGAGAGGGAAAGCAACAGGTTAAAACAGTAAGTGGTAGGACTTACATTCATTCTCTGATCTGCCTCTTAACTAATATATAGAGAAGACTTTTCTTTCATGACTTTCTGATTATTTAACGCACTGTAGTCCCTTTCTGGATGCCCCAAGCTCTACTCTCAGTATCCTAGGCAGATCTAAGTAAAAGAAAAGGAAGCTTTGTCCTCAAATGTTCACAAGCATCTGGGTTTCTTTAGCTGCTTCAAACACATCCATAATTGATTCTGCCTATTGAAATAACCATCGTAGGAAAAGGCAAATCTGTATAATACCTGCATCTCGGAGTTCCTGGTTGAGTTCCCGAACTGCCATTGTCTTCATCCACATGAACTCCTTCAGCTTCCCATCCAGGACTCTGCTTGTGCTACTTTCTAATTAACAGAGGAAACAAAGGTACCCTTACCTCCACATCAGGAAATAGAATAAAGCCCAGGACTACACTGAGTCAAATTCTGTTCCCACTTACAAGACTTCCTCCTAATCTTTCTAATTCCCTTTCTTGGCTCTCAATCTTGGATAGCAATTGATAAAAAGGAAAAAAAAAAGGTAATTTCAGTTTCTGACTTAATGTGCTCTTTCTTCTCATTTGTGTTGATTCTTGTTCATTAAGCTTAGCTGAAGCTGCTTCTGTTGTACAAGATAACAATGAAGTGATTTTTTACGAAATGATCCTGTCACCAGAAATGTCTATTCAGTACTGGCCTTTGGGGACTTCAACACTGTACACCAATATTCCTAAGCTATTTCTGTATTTGTCACCACTGCACTCATTTAAAGACCTAACATGTGACTATTACCAAAGAGTTAACCTACTCAATTTCCCGTGGTTAAATCTAGCATTTCTCCATTTACAAAAAGCTGTAAAAAATGCTGTTATTGTGAAAGATACAGCTAATTGGCACACAGGAGAGTACTGACCAAATGATACTGAAGAGACAGGCTCACCAATATGGGTTCATTTATCCAGGGGAATTGTCACCCAGAATCCTGGCAGACCAACACAGGAGGCTGGGAGTGAGTCACAGAAGGGAGGAAAAAGAGATCAGAAAAAATTATAAACACCATTTTCTTTACTTAATTTGAAATATTTATTTCCTGAGCAAGGTATATACTTTTCTTATATTTATATTAAATTAACTCCACCAAAGAAACTTAGCAGAAAGACAGGGAACGTCATAGAAGCCGTGTGTGTGTGTGAGAGAGAATTATCTATAAGGCTATTCTGCTCTACAATTAAAAGCTAGCATATCCATAATCTGTATGAAAGTATTTAGCTATTGATCCAATTACACAGCCCATAATTTCACATCAAAAATGATACTTTTAACTTAGAAATAACTGTAGTGTGTTGGACTTGGTTATGGATTATGAATCAGAAGACTTAAATTCTATTTAAGTTTGATCAGTAACTTACTCTGTAACTTCAGATAATTCACTTCATGTCACTATAGTATTATTTCCACACCTGTAAAATGAGCAGATTATAGAAAATGATTTCTGCAGTCCCTTCTGGGCCCAAAGCTTTCTGCACTGCGTACAGCTATAGTTTTCTTGTTGATTCATGGGGAAAGGAAGAGAGTACAGAAAGAGGAGATGAACATCAAAGAAAAAATCTGATATAAGGTCTATTTTTGCATATATGGCTTAGCAAACATAAGAAGAAGACGACTCAGGAGATAAATACAATTCAATCTGAGCATGTTTTTACTAATTATTATAGAAGTAATAAATACAAATTTTAAGAAATAACATATCTGTTTGCATTACGTACAGCCCTATAATAGCCTAACTCTGATGACACATAGAAGTAAAGGGGAAAAAAATTAGCTAATGAGAAAAAAATCCTGCTAAGCTTAAACACAGTGTCATTCATTCATTGACATGAATTTCCTACAAAGAGTTGGTGCAGGAAAAAATATGCCACATTTTAAAAAGAGCCAGCAGTTAAAAGAAAAGACAAGGAAGGGAAGGAAGGAAGGAAGGAAAGTGGGGGAGGGAGGGAAGGGAAAGGGAGGAGAGAACAGGAGAGGAGAAAGACAAACACTACATTGTCCCTAGAGGGTAGAAACACAGGGGGAAAGAGCATGGTTAGAGGGCCATTCTGTAGCGACCAGGGCAATATGCCTCCATGTATGGAACATCACTCTGCTTTCTCCTTACCTACCTTCACCCCAGGCTCAGAGACAGAACCTTCAACCACAAGAAATGATGTATCCAGAATGAAGAATAGACCCCAAGCTAGGCAAATGGAAAAATTACTCATTTGGAATCCTTACATTAAATTTTCACACACACCCCCTGAAAAAAAAAGGCCTAAGAAAGAGAAAATATAAAGGAGGAAGTAGAAGAAAGAGATGGAAAGAGGGTAAAAGGATATAGAAAACAAGATATTGGGGCAATATATCGTTTTGTAATAGGAAAGAGTGTAAGATTACCACAAACAACTGTGCTTTCTAAGTTGTAAAATGCTAAGTAAATTTGAAGTAACTTGAAAAAATTTTTAATTAATTTATTTATTTTAAATTTAATTTAAATTCAAAAAATCAAAAATAAAAAGAGCCATCACAAGATCTACACAATTAAAAACAATTGTTAGGAAAGAGAATCCAGAAAAATATCACCACTCAGCAGATAAAAATCATGACCAAATATTTCACCATGAATTTTTTAAAATTACGGGTGTGATCAACTTTATAAAAAAAAAAAGACATCAAGGTGTAAAAGCTCAAAAATATTTGACAGGAAAAGAGACTAAGTATGAACAGACATATCTCAAGAAAGAATAGCAGAAAAAATAGTCATCACAGATATAAAGGTAAAATATCTGTGAAAGAGACCAAGGGGAAGCAGACACTGCTGAAACACAATAGGAGAGATAAAGACAGGGATAAGGACAGCGAAGTGGAAATGATGTAAGAGATTAAAAGGTGTAGAGAGAAGACACAGATACAAAAGATTCAATGTACACATAATTGGGGTCCCCAAGAAGAAAACACAATGGAACAGAACACATCGTTAAGGCTCTCACTTAAGAACATTTTCCAGAAATAAAGGAAGACTTGACTTTCCAGATTGAAAGAGCACCCATCCAAAAAACCAAAACAAACAAAAAACTATGACACAAAGTATTCAACACAAGGTATAACATTTGACAAAATACAGCACATTTTCTTGATGAAAACTCTTAGCAAACCAGGTGCCCTAAATTTAAGAGTTAGGAAGCTATTAAACTTGAAACTTATAAATAAATCAAGGGGAATTTGAATATATATTGATTTGAATAAAAATGAAAACAGAGTCTAATCTTTTAAAAAATTTTATTCAAGTGTAGTTGATTTACAATGCTAGTTTCAGGTGTATAGCAAAGTGATTAGGTTATACATACATGTATTTTCAGATTCTTTTCCATTATATACTATTACAAGAAACTGAATACAGTTCCCTGTGCTACACAATAGGTCCCCATTGTTTATCTATTTTATATATAGTAATGTGTGTCTGTTAGTCCCCAATCCCTAATTTATCCCTCCCCGCCGTTTCCCCTTTGGTAATCCTATTTTGTTTTCTATGTCCATGACAAATCCTCCTCATTCAGAAGAACAGTTAGTAATATGAACCAAAGCCTTAAGGATATGGTTACTCTTTGCCCAGGAATTACTATCTATTTTATTCTAGAAAATAATAAAAAAAATACACAATGATGTGTTATAGCGTGCTTCCTATTAGTAAAATTTGACGACTGACTACATATACACCAAAGGAAAGCTGGTTAAAAAAATATATGGTTTAATTTATTTTATTCTGAGGCAGAAGCCACTGGGTGAGGACCTTGGATATAGTCCCAGTATTTTCCCTGTTGCTCCATTTTGTGGCTGTAGGGGTACACATCAGATTGAGAAAAGCCTACTCAGCTCTAGAGGAATTCATGGAAAGTGAGCCACTCTTCAGACCTAGTCTACAGTCTGTGGTTTAACTGGTAGTGTCTGTGGGAAGATTGGGTCTGGGGATGGAGGGGGGTTGGTGTTCACTACTGCATTAATGCCCTTGTTACTTATCTCTTGATTTGTTCACAATCCAGGTATAAGATCCTATTTCATCAATACATGTGAAGAAGGAAAAAAATCAATTGAATAATTGCAGCTTTGCTTATATAACTCCAAAATATTTAATTAAAAAAAAGAAAATTAATGTTGTCTGGTTATTCATTGTATAAGCATTTATAAATAATCATATAATCCACTTTCCCCCCCTCAAAAATTTTTTTTATGGTTTAAGCTTCCAGTTATAAACTAGGTCCTGAAGATGTGATGTACAGCATAGTGGCTATAGCTAATAATACTGTATTGTATATTTGAAAGTTGCTAAGAAAATAGATCTTAAAAGTTCTCACCATAAGAAAAAAATTTTAATTGTATGTAATGATGAATGTTAACTAGATTATTGTGGTGACATTTCACAATATATACAAATACCAAATCATTATGTTCTACACCTGAAACCAATGTAATGTTAAATGTCAATTATAACTCAATTTTAAAAATAGGATGAAAATCTTTAATGCATGAAGGCAAGAACTAAAAAAGAGAAGAGCCAAAATATCTTTCCTCAAGCTTGTGAGGGTCTAATCTTTTAGCTGCTGTTTACTGGCAAATTTGTGAAGGGGAGAGGGTAAAGATTTGTTAGAGCCATTAATTTTAACCTTAAACATTACCTTCCCATCCTTTACTAACAGTCTGTTGCTGACGATGATCATTCAGAGGTTCATGGATGGCAGGCCAGCTTCATAACAAACTGCCTAACCTATATGTGACTAGTGCTTTCACTCAACACCTGGCCCTAATTCATTTGGTAACTCAAAAAGAACAGTGAGGTAGCAAAGGAAACCATTAATAAAAGGAAAAGACAACCTACAAAATCGGAAAAAATATTTGCAAACGATGCAACTGACAAGAGGTTAATATCCAAAATACACAAACAGCTCATACAACTCATTATCAAGAAAACACAATCCAATCAAAACAAATGGGCAGAAGACCTAAATAGACATCTTTTGAAAGAAGATATACAGATGGCCAACAGGCACATGAAAACATGCTCAGCATCACTAATCATCAGAGAAATGCAAATCAAAACCACAATGAGGTTATCACCTCATTACGCCTGTCATGATGGCTATCATCAAAAAGGACACAAAGAGCAAATGGTGGTGAGGATGTGGAGGAAAGGAAACCCTCATACGCTGTTGTAGGAATGTAAATTGGTGCAGCCACTGTGGAAAACAGTATGGAGATTTCTCGAAAAACTAAAAAATAGAACTACAAAATAGAACAGCAATTCCATTCAGGGGTATATATCTGGAAAAAAACCCCACGAATTTGAAAAGATACATGCACCCCAATGTTCACTGTGGCGTTATTTCTAATTCCTGAGATAATGGAAGAAACCAAAGTGTCCACCAGCAGAAGAATGGATAAAGATGTGATGTATATATACAATAGAATATTAATCAGCCATAAAAAAAAGAATAAAACTTGCATTTGCAGCAACATGGATGGACCTTAGTAAAATAAATCAGACAGAGAAAGACAAATACTACGTGATATCACTTACGTGTGGAATCTAAAAAAATAATACAACTGACTCTATATGAAAAATGGGAAAACAGATGCACAGACATAGGAATCAAATTCATGGTTGTCAAGGGGGAGACGGAGCAGGGTAAGGACAAGTTAGGAAGGAGTATGGGAATAACAGATACAAATTACTATACACAAAATAGATAAGCAGCAAGGATTTACTGTATGGAAAAGGGAATTATACCCAATATCTTGTAATAACCTACAATCTGCAAAAAAAAAAAACCCAAATTGCTATGCAGTACACCTGAAATTAATACAATGTTATAAGTCAACTATAGTCCAATTAAATAAATAAGTAAATAATGAAAACAAACATTCCTTAAAAAAAGAAAAGAACAATGAGATACTCTTTAGTTATTTAAATTATTTCTGAACAATATATTTGTTTTATCATAATTATATATGATGTATTTTATCACATGAAAACTTTAATACATTACTTAATTATACCATTTATATTTCTTCAGTTAAACAGTTCTGTAACAAATTTTCTTTTGTACTTTCAACACTTTTTCATTTAGTCAGTAACGTGGTTCCCATAATATAGAAATCCTTTGCGTTTTTATTTAGTGTTGCCTCTTTCAATCCATTTATAATATTTTAATATTCAAATAGCTTTCTTTGCCATATAAAAATGGTGGCTGTTACTTAGGAAATAAACAGGTTAAAACATAATTATCTCACACACTGAGGAGTATAGGATTTTACATCATCTATTCCCCCAAAATTTGATTAATTAATGATATTAATGTTTCCTGAGTTGTCACTCTGAGTTATCTCAAATTTCACCTTCCAATCCTAACTAAATCTAAAACCCTTAATGTCAGTTAAATCTGAGTGTGGATGGTCAAGTCCAGATGTTAGCAGCCTCAAATTCTCAAAGCTACCTAGGCTATTTTCTTCATTTTGTTTTTTCCTTCAGATACACAGACACTGAGAAACTCAGAGGGCTTGGATATTGATACTCATGTATATTAGAAAAGATACATCTTTGAGAATCACTACCAAAGAGAAGAGCATCCAACATTTTCTTGTGATGGAAAATGTACCCAATATGCGACATTTCTGCCTTTACCGATGTCTTCAGTAGTAACTGAAAAGGACACTACATTCCAATAATGAATTCATCCCTCCCTAGTGATTTCAGTTTCCTTAGATCAAGGAGCCTGTGAAAAACTGACCAGCTCAGAACAGAGTCCTTAATGAGAGATTTCACAGAGAGTATTGAAAACCAGTAACTACACTGAAAAGATTTGTGAAAAGTATAATAAAAGAGATTAACTTCTGAAAATAATCAAGATCAATCTGAATTTCTTGTACTGTGTGAGAAAAAAATTCTTCCTAAAACTTAAAACCTTACCAAGCAGTCTCTTCATTGCTACCTTCATCTCTTTATTTCTAAATGTATAGATAATAGGGTTCATTAAAGGAGTAATAAGGGCATCAAAGATGGCTAAAAATTTATCTATGGGTAAGGTAGGGAAAGGCCACACATAGACAATAATGCAAGGGCCAAAGAAAAAGACCACTACGGTAATGTGAGCTGAGAGGGTGGAGAGGGCCTTGGATGAACCACCTGAAGAGTGTCTGCGAACCGTGACCAGGATGAAGATGTAAGACACAATCAAGATAAAGAAGGTGCCCATGGAGATGAAACCACTGTTGGCTGTGACCAAAAACTCCAGTCTGTATGTGTCTGTACAGGCAAGTTTGATGAATCGAGGAAAATCACAATAAAAGCTATCCATCTTGTTGGGACCACAAAAGGGTAAGTTCACAACAAAAGCAAGCTGGGCCACAGAGTGGATGAGTCCAGTGGTCCAGGCAACAGCTAGAAGAGAAATGCACATTCTTAGGCTCATGATGGTCAGGTAGTGGAGGGGCTTACAGATAGCAATGTATCGGTCGTAGGCCATGACTATGAGCAGCACCATCTCTGTGCCACCAACAGTGTGAATAAAGAACATCTGAGTTATGCACCCTTTCAAGGAGATGACTTTATGTTTTCTGAAAAGGTCATAAATCATCTTAGGGCTTGCAATGCTGGAAACACCTGTGTCAATGAAGGAGAGATTTGCCAACAAAAAGTACATGGGGGAATGTAAATGATGGTCTGAGAGGATTGTGAGCACAATGAGAAGGTTTCCCAGCATACTT